TTTCCAAAGAGTCTGGACTCCACCAGTCCATTGTCAGGCAGATTGTGTACAGATGGAGGCAATTCAGCACCACTGTTACCCTCCCCAGGAGTGGTTGATCAACCAAGATCACACCAAAAGTGAAGCATGTAATACTCCGGGAGGCTTCAAAGGTAACTGCTAAGGAACTAAAGGCCTCTCTTGCATTGGGGAATGTCAGTATTCATGAGACCACCATCAGAACAATGAACAATGGTGTGTGCATGGCAGGGTTGCAAGGAGAAAGCCACTATTCTCCCTAAAGAACATTGCTGCCCATCTACGGTTTCCAAAGGCCACATAAATAAGCCAGAAGGCTACTGGAAGAATGTTCTGTGGATAGATGAGGCCAAAATAGAACTTTCTGGCTTGAGTGAAAAGAATTATGTATGATTACAAAACCCGCTGACTTTCTGCCCCCAGGTTCATAGTAAATCACCAGTCTCCCAAGACTTTAGTCTTAGCTCAGCTTCTCAGCTTGACTTAGCAGAAGACTCAAGGTATGGCTCAGCTAGGTTCATCTTCACTGCAGACAAGAATGAAGCCACACACACGTAACACATGATCGTCCAGTACAGTGCGAAAGAGCCAGAGACTTTTATGCATTTTCAAAGATTTAAATTAGGGGCTTCCTTCTCCACTCTTCCAGTTAATGGCTATTTGGCATAGCTCTTGTTGGTTTCCTCTTCGCTAATTTCAGTCCCTACACTTGTGATGCTTTCACTGAACTTCTATGCAGATAAAACATCTTGCATTCAGGGCACTCTTAATTATCCCCATTGATCCAAAGTAAATGTTAAGGATGCCTTACAACTCCTCTTGTACACTTACACTGGACCCATTTGAATTTGTAGCACCCAAAGATATTGATACAGGCAGTCCTCGGGTTATGACAGCAATTGGGACCGGAATTTCTGTCACTAATCGATGCGGTCATAAAGCATGACATCACATGACTGTATCACTTAGCAATGGCAATCCCAGGAGTCCCCGGTGCCGTGGTAACCCAGGACCACACGAGTCATTAAGTGGAAAGAGGCAGAAGTCCCAGGTAAGGAGCGTGGGGGGATGTGGGGGTGCCACTGGTGGGCACTGGGGAGCGCAGGTGGGTAAAGGGGGGTGCTATGAAGTATGAGATCCCTGGCATCTTGTACTCCATAGCAGGGCTCCTTGGGAGAAAAAACAGCAGGAGCCCCTTACGGGGGCAATTTGCAACTTTCCCTGCTGGTTTCCCCATTGACTTTGCTTATGGGAAGCCAGCAAAGGAGGTTGCAAATGGCGATCACGTGACCGGGACGCTGCAAAGTTGTAACTGCAAGCCAATCATGTGACCACAGGGATGCTGTGACAGCCTCAACATCACAGAACAGTCACAAGTCCTCCTTGTCCAGCACCATTGTAATTTTCAAGGGTCGCTTAATGAGTGGTCATAAGGACCACCTGCAGGCTGTTTGAAACAACAGACTCCCCTCTCTGATTTCTGAATTCTTGCCTATCTTGACTTGTACCTTCTAGCCAAGAGGCTATTATAGGCAGTTTGGCTAACATCATGAATGCCTCTCTGAGAGAGGGCAATTGTTAGATCCTTCTAAAGAGGTCTGCATTGGTATTCTCCTATATCAGCCATTATAGACTACTCTATTAAGCCTTTCTTGGTTGACCTAGAGAAAGTGATGTAGTAACTGCATTATCTTGACTACAGATGTGCAGGTATTCAGATCTGAAGAGGGAAAGGAGTTTTGGATCCAACATGGTCACATTTCTGCTGTCTGTCAGTGGCACCTAAAAGAAGCCATGCCTTTTCTTGCCTTCTTTATGAAAGTACCACTAACACACACAGCAAATACATCTGTATCAGATCAAAAGCACATCTCCTATTTTGAATCCAAATACTGCGCATCTCTAATCTTGTTCCATTTCAAACTGCTTCAGAATAGGCCACAAGGGTAACATTGTCTTTGTGAGTCTAATAAATAATCTTTGTCTGGGGATCAACAGAGGGGCTGTAACCCAATGGTTTCTTCTTGCTCTCTCACTGCTTTTCAATACCATGGCTCAGGTTACCCTTCTGGATCACCTGGGTGATTTGTGAACAAAAGGCTCTCCTTTTTAACAGCTTTGCTCCTCTTCCAGAGATAAAGGGTGCCTGCTGTTAAAAACAGTGCCCCATTTTGTCTCCAACATCTTCAGAGAACACTGGGAGAGATTACCAGATTTGGAACTGCATGCTAACACTCTACTGACCGCACCCAAATCTCTTTCTCTGTAACACCTGCAGGAAATAGTGTGGCTTCCCTAAACAATAATGGGATGAGGGATAAAACATTGAAACTGAATCCAGCAAAATGGAGACACTTACTGTAAGGGTTCATAATTCAACATGTAATAGCCTTCCCTGTTCTAAATGGAGTTATTCCCCCAGAAATAACTTGGTTTCCCTGACGGAGGAAATGGCTAGGAGTGATTTCATCAGCTTTGGTTGTTTTAGAGCTGAACCGCCCACAGACTTGGAGCATGTCACCAGTATCAAACAGGAGAGGCCATGCAGAGGCTTGATAGCTGCCAGGAGACCCAGAGGGAAGGGATAAGGACCAAAAACATGAGACTGAATCCAGACAGTATGGCAGAACTTTAGTCAGATGATTCCCAGGCCCAGATACTGGGAAGGTGGTCCGTACTGAGTAAGTTCGCACTTGATTAGCGCATCACCTATGACCCTACTTGGACTGGGACAGCCCTGGTCCATGCCTTAAAAATATCACAAAAGAATGACAGCAATGAGCTCTATATGGGGCTGCCGTTGAGGAGCTGGTGCAAAATGCCTGAGAGCTGCACTGGTCGCCTATAAACTCCCAGCCTCAGACACAACTAAGATCACATCCTCAAATAACACTGAATCTGGGCAGTAACATCAGGTGACATGGCCATGCTTATGATCCCACCAGGGGGCAGACCTGGGATAAAGCATTATCAGGACAGCAACCCAGTTATGGAACTCCTTCAGCACAGACAACCAAAGAGGCTGAGGAGTTGAAGTCCACACATCTTAAAGAGGCTGAGGTTGAGAAACACTGCCACAGAGTAACTTCTGGCTACCACATCTGATGTGTCTCAGTAGGGATGCAACCGGCCACGTGGCGGCTCCTGTTGGTCGATGTACCTGAGGATAACAATGAAAAACAAGAGATTTAAGACAATTATAAAGATTCAGAGAACACTTCTTGCAAAAATGCACATGATCCAAGAGAGAAAAGACATAGATCTGCTAGAGAAGGGAGGCAGAAAGGAAAGATGGCGTGACTAAGGCGGAGGAACTGCACAAAAATGAACACAAAACCCATAAGGCTAAGGCTGATCCCTGAACCAGAGCCAGGCCGATGGAGAGGAGCTGCTGGGAACCTACAAGACAAGCTGAGGTCCGTCGAGCGCAGCAGCGCTCGAGAGACGGGCGCAGATGGGGGCCGCGGCCTCACCTTCAGCCATGGAAATTCACTTTCACCCAAGCCTACCTCGCGGGGTTGTTGTTGTAGGGAGGAAATGAAGGGCGGTCCTGCTATGCTCGTTGAAGGAAAAGGGGAACCAACAACGCAGTCCCGCTCAACCACGGAGCTCCCTTTACGACTCTGTCCCGGGCAGCCGACCTCGCAGGACTCTCGTGGAAGCCAGGAAGGGAAGCCGCCCTGCTCACCCGCGTGACGCCACAAGGGGCGTAGCTCGGAGACGGCCGCAACCGTCGCCGTCAGGGTTTCTTCCGGCCTGGGGCTCTTCTGCTTCCGGGGTCGCGGGTCGTGCGGTAGAGGGCGGAGC